GGCAGTAGGAATGTCAGTAGCTGCTGTGGTAATGATAAGATCCTTCTTTGCTGCGGCAGTAGGAATGTCAGTAGCTGCTGTGGTAATGATAAGATCCTTCTTTGCTGCGGCAGTAGGAATGTCAGTAGCTGCTGTGGTAATGATAAGATCCTTCTTTGCTGCGGCAGTAGGAATGTCAGTAGCTGCTGTGGTAATGATAAGATCCTTCTTTGCTGCGGCAGTAGGAATGTCAGTAGCTGCTGTGGTAATGATAAGATCCTTCTTTGCTGCGGCAGTAGGAATGTCAGTAGCTGCTGTGGTAATGATAAGATCCTTCTTTGCTGCGGCAGTAGGAATGTCAGTAGCTGCTGTGGTAATGATAAGATCCTTCTTTGCTGCGGCAGTAGGAATGTCAGTAGCTGCTGTGGTAATGATAAGATCCTTCTTTGCTATGGCAGTAGAAATATCAGTGATTGTTTTGACGATTGAAGGGTCCTTTGCTTTAGAAGAAGAAGGATAAGTGGTTGTATAAGTGCCATGGATAGTGCGAGATGCCAAGGAAGTCGAGTCAGTGGCAACTACAGTGAATGTACCAGTTTCTGTTGCTAAGTCAGTGGGAGCGTCCGTTTCCTCGAATGCAGTAGCTGAAGAGGGAACCGCATGAATTATGTTGTGCTTTCTACGGAAGTTCTTGAATACTTTACGTCTAGCTTGAGTCAGTAACATTCGTTCCGACGAATACTCAAATTTTCTTTCTGAGGACGGTGAGGTTGGTGACGTCTCCTGTACCGGTGGCTGAGTCAGCATTTCGTCTTTACTGTCGCAACCTGCAGCTTGGGCCGTGTCGCCCTCCTCAGTCCCCTGGCCAACGCCTTCCTGAGATATCTCCATTACAAGCTCCTCTCAGCTGCACCAGTGATTACCCTGGTTTCAGAATATCTGATTCGTGTATATCCAGCAGTCAGACAGCACTCGGAGTAGATCCAGAACTACAAATAAAACTAAAAATAGTACAAAATAAAAGACATAGAGATACAATAGAAAAATATTATATACAACAAACATTTAAACAAAACATTTCCCTAAACGATAATAACATATACCTTAATAACCCCATCTTCAATGTCCTTCAGAC